GAGCCCCCCACGGCAGGGAAGGGTCCCTCATGGCCGGGAGGGGTCCCCGAGACAGCCAGGGTCCCCATGCAGGAAAACGTCCCCATGGCTGGGTGAGGTCCCCATGGCCAGGAGGGTCCCTATGCCAAGGAGTGTCCCCAAGGTGCATGGGGTCGCCCACAGCAGGGATGGGGTCCCCATGGCAGGGAGTGTCCCCGAGGTGGATGGGGTCCCCCACAGCAGGGAAGGGTCCCCGTGGCCAGGAGGGGTCCCCAAGGTAGCCCCAGAATATCTATGTATTGCCCCAGACGTTTGGGGGCAGCGGAGCTGGGGTTTGGCCACATCACAGGTGACAGGAGCCCTCCCGTGGGCCCCCGGGGTCGAGCCGCTCAGGGTATTTATTGTCCCCAAGGCTCGGCTCCAGCTCCTGGGGACACTAACATCCCGCCTCAGTTTCCCCACACAACGGTGCTGCCCACAGCGCCGTCGGCTCGGGGCCCCGCTGGCCCCAGAGCAGCTCGGGGCAGAGCTGCCCGTGAGGCGTGGGCAGGAGGAGCGGGTTCCCGGGAAGGTCAGGGCGCGCCTGCCGGGCGGCCGGGCCCGATCCTGCGTGGGCGCAGCGGGCAGGGCAGGAGCTGGCCCCGTGCCGCGGAGGGAGGGCTTTGCTCCCGCTGCTGCGCTGGCCCACACATGGCTTTGGGCATGTGGCTGTGTGTCCAGAGCTGTGTGGCCGTGTGTCTGCTGCAGCTCTGCGTGTCTGGTGTCCGTGCATCCCTGTGTCTGTGTGTCCATGGGTCTGTGCACCCATATGCTTGTGCATCCGTACATCCACATGCCTGTGTGTCCGTGCATCCATGCATCCATCTGTCCCTGCATCTGTGTGTCCATGCATCCATGTATCCCTATACCCCTGCTCCCGTATATCCATGTGTCCGTGCATCAGTGCATCCGTACGTCCATGCATCCATCTGTCCTTGCATCCATGTGCCTATGTATCCATACACCCCTGCATCCCTATGTCCATGCATCCATGTCCCTCTGCGTCGGTGCATCTCTCTGTCCATGCACCCGTATGTCCATGTGTCCATGCATCCATATGCTTGTGCATCCGTGTGCCTGGGTGTCCGTGTGTCCTTGCATCAATGCATCCATGTATCCATACATCCCTGCACCAATATAACCATGTGTCCGTGTATCTGTCCATGTGTCCATGCATCCGTATGCTTGTGCATTCATGCATCCACATGCCCAGCTGTCCATGTGTTCTTGTATCAGTGCATCCATGTATCCATACATCCCTGCATCCATATATCCATGTATCCATACATCCCTGCATCCGTATATCCCTGTATCCATACATCCCTGCATCTGTATATTCATGCATCCATGTTTCAGTGCATCCCTATGTCCATGCGTCCGTCGGTCCATGCATCCATACACTTGTGCACCTGCGACCCCGTGTGCCTGTGTGCATCTGTGTGTCCAAGCATCCGTGTGTTCGTGCATCTATGTGCCCATATCCATACATCCATACATCCATATGCTTGTGCATCCATGTGTCCGTGTGTCCATATCTGCCCTCTGAAGGTGCCCTGGATTCTGCACCGTGGGCAGGATGTGACCGCGCAGGAGGTGGTGGCAGCTGGTGGCCGTGGCCGTGTCCCTGAGGCTGTGGCTGGCTCGGGATGTCCCGGCTCGGCCCCAGCCCTGCCGTTTCCCAGCCCAGGAGCAGCGTCTCCAGCCAGAGCAGGGACATGGGCGCTGGGTCTGTTCTTAAGACCTGGTTGCCAAAACAGAAAAGGAGGAAATAACTGCTTTTTGGAGAATAGACGGAAAAGTCCCAGCCCCGCCGTGAGCCTGGGTGTGGGCCCGTAGGTCCCCCGAGGGCACCCGTCAGCGTGCCCAGCCTGACCTCCGCTGCCAGCGCCGTCCCGGTGTTCCCCACATGGGATTTGGGCGGCTTTGCTGGGATTTAGCAGCTGGGCTGTGCTGTACGAGCAGGGCTCTGCCACTGCGCTGCGGTGCCCTGTCCCCCCCACCGGCCACGTGGTGCCCCAAAGGGGCCCGATGGCAGTGGCTTGTCCTGTCTGTTCTCTCCTGTCTGTCCTGCCCCAGTCCATCCATCCATCCCATCCCGTCCCGTTCTGTCCTGCCTGCTCTGTCCCATCATGTCCGCCCCATCATGTCCCATCCCGTCCCGTCCCATCCCATCCCATCCCATCCCATCCCATCCCATCCCATCCCATCCCATCTCTCCTGGCCCATCCTGTCTGTCCCATCATGTCCCATCCTGCCCTGTCCTGTGCCGTCCCATCCTGTCCTGTCCCATCCTGTCATGTTTGTCCTGCCCAACTTTGTCCCAGCCGGTCCTGTCTGCCCCACCCTGTCCTGTCCCATCCTACCTGTCCCATCTTGTCCCGTCATGTCCCGTCTGTACTCTCACATCTTGTCATATGTGACCCACCTCATCCCATCCCATCGCCCTCTTCTGTCTGTCCCATCCTATCCTGTCCCATCCCTCCATCCTGTCCATGCCATGCCATTCTGTTCTGTCCCATCCCATCCCATCCCGTCCCGTCCCGTCCTGTCCCGTCCTGTCCCGTCCCATCCCATCCCACCCTTTCCCATCACATCTGTCCTGTCCCATCTGTCCCATGCCATTCCATCCCGTCCTGTCCCGTCCCATCCCTCCATCCTGTCCCATGCTGTGCTGTCCCATCCCATCCTGTCCCATCCCATCGCATCATGTCTGTCCTGTCCCATCTGTCCTGTCCTGTCT